AGTAAAGTATAACACATATCATATATCTCATTCACAGCGTCATTCATCTTTCACCATCAACTGATAATGAATCACTACCAAACCAGCATCATGTTTATCAAGCTATTAATAGTATTAGCTCTTGCAAGTAAACAAGTATGGACCGATCGATGAGGATGTAAATTTTAATGCCGGCATATGTGATAAAACATGGACTTTCATTGAATAGCGCTTTGAAGAAATTTTAGTTGAGGGGGAGGGTGAGAGGCCTAGGCTTTTGGAGTTCTTTCTGAAAATATTCATTTCGTGAGTGTACTTCCGAAGAATAAAAACATGTTTCACATGTCGTTTTATGAGAGCAATCCGGTGGTTCGATAAGAAATTTCATTTTCGAAAATATTCCCCTTGAGAAACATGAGAAATCCAGAAATTCCATTTAGGCTCGTGCAGTTCTTTCTCAGAATATTTGTTTAGTGAGTGTCCTTCCGAAGAATAAAGAGATGTTTCGTATGTCGTTTTATGAGAAGAATCCAGTGATTTGATCAGCATTTTCATGTTCGAAAATATTTCGCTGAGAAAACGTGAGAAATCCTGAAATTCTATTTACGCAGTGGGACTACTTTCTAAAAATATTCGTTTAGTCAATGTGCTCCATCTCTGTTTTATAATATATCCTACCAAGCATCGCAAACTCAGTTATTTTATGTAAATAGGCCTCTTTCTCCTTGCTTATTCAGTGCTTTTTTTCTATACTTAGTTGCTTCTGTTGGAGTGTGTTTTACTTTCCCAGGTCCATGATTACGGCCGTCGTATACGGTCGTATACGTCAAATTACCTCGTCGTAATTTGACGTAAAACTGAGCAACATATTACGTTAACCGTTACGACTGTCGTATTTCGTCGTATTTCAGCATAAACGACATGGTTTAAGACTGACGTAATACGTTGGCCGGGTTTACATCAAAATATGACGAAATACTATAGTATACGGTGTGAGTCTATGACCTGGGTAATGAAATTCAGATCTATATAGAATCTATGTCGCAACTTAGCCAAAATGAAGAGCTTTGGCTCTGTATGTCGAGTAAAAATAGTCAAAGCTCTAATCTCGCATTTTCAGTCTATGATGAACTAAAACGTCATCTTGAAAGACCTCATTTTGGTCAGTAGTCCGTTTATTTGTCATGCGGTCTATGTTTTAGTAGTTTCACGTCGGCAAAATCCCTCGATGTACACGTGAGAAGAAAGTGCAAGACATCTCATATTCCTGCAGTTGATAACGACGAGCAAGATATTAACACAATGAATATTGACTACGAGTATAAACATGGAAAATCTCATTTCTCTTAACTCTTCCAGGATCGTCAACTAGACATTTCAAAAGCTTCATTAGCGACGTGACAGCGTGCGAACATAAAAACGAAAAATGCTCTTTTAACTGAACCAGAAGCGCAGAAGCAATTCTAAATGATATAAATCCTTCTTGGGAATCTCGGGATAACGGCAAAACAAAGAATTTTGTTTCGGAACATGACGGGATCTCCGGAAAACTGGTTTTTTAAAAGACACTTTTTGATGTGTGATCTTGCTGAAAATTGCAGCATAGATGTAGTCAGGTGTAGGGCGTCTATCATCATGTTAGGAATTTATTCGCTAATTACGTTTTCACTAATTAGCTAATAACTTATGATTTGGTGTGAGCTTAAAAAGCCAACATTTTTACATATTTTCATGACACGAGAACTTGTTCAGAAACTTGTAAAGAATCAAAGACAAATTGGCCCATGTAGCTCATTCAGAATGAAATATACAAGCTGTTTTAGTCATTTGATAGTGCAGCTAACTAAAGAAGATTAATATATATTTTTGCTGCAAATGTCAAGTCGAAAGGCTAAACATGAAAGAAATTATGCGTTATTTATTTTGACTGTGAAGGTTAAGAATGGCTGTATTTCTTTAAAACTTGTTGAAGTTTGCGACACATTTTTTCCATTAAGGCTGCGACACATTCCGCTGAGTATTTCTACCATAGAGAAAACAGTGGATATTAAGTATTTCTGATCTCTTATTCGATTTTAAGGATATTTTTAGTTCGTTTTGGGTGCACCACGTAATGTCGACGAGCTCAAGCCTCCCGTAATATGCACAGGCCTTCAAAATATTTAGTTTCCGAGATCTGAGATTCATAGCGTAGTCAAGGCCTCAGATTGGTTCGTTTTGTGTGAGAAAAAATGTTTAACGTAGAGAAAAGGTTAAAAGGACTTAACGGGTGACCCATAAAGAATGTTCCTCTCAGTATTTTGCTTATAATTTGGTCTGGATTTGTTTCCGAGACTCGATGTTTTTTTTAAAAGATGCGCTGCGAAATTCTCTACAAAATCATACCTAAACTATAATTTTAGAACTTCAGTCAAGAAAACTACCAGTTAGATGAAAGTCGAAAGAAATGTAAACTTTCTAAACTCAAAAATGATTTCTTGTGTTAACGTTTTGGAAGTAAGAAAAACTGAATTAGCCATTTTGTAGACCTGACTTCACTCTATCGTTTAGCTACACTGCAAATTTTTTCACATCAAAAGCCACAGCGAAATAATAGTTTTTCTATCGGTTGTCATGCATTTTTTCATTCAACTTTTTAAATTTTGGGTATAGTAGTGCTTTCAGTTACAGTCCCATAACTCCATCAGAATAAAAGCTTTTACGGTCAGGTTTGCTTTGCTTTGATCAGAAATGACTGCTCTTCTCTATCTAACTGCAAAATCAAACTTCAATCATCTTTTCCGTTTCTTGGTTGAGCACATTGCTAGAAACGGGGAGGTTGTCAACTTTTGATGTATTTTTGTAACCTCGTTCTCGAGCACACCATCTGCTCTAAAAAAGTTTGCTTACAGACCACGAGAAAGGGCACATTTGAAAGTACCAAACATAAGCTGAGTTCTCACTTTTGCTACACTTTTTAGCGGAAATAGTAGCAGAAGAAAAAGTTCAAGTCAAAAAAAATTTTGAGTTTAGGAAGTTTACATGTTTTTGGACTTTCATCTAATTAGTTTAGTTTTCTTGATTGAAGTTCTAAAATTATAGTTTAGTTATGGTTTTGTAAAGAAGTTCGCAGCGCATCTTTTAAAAAAAACATCGAGGCTCGGAAACAAATCCAAACCAAATTATAAGCAAAATACTGAGAGGAACATTCTTTATGGGTCACCCGTTAGAAAGGGATCTTTATCCACGAATAACATCAGTTCAGAATTGAAAGAACTTAAAAACCCCGAAAATTTTCTTATCTTTTACGTACCTATAGCTCATCAAAATTGAAGAGAAGCCGAGAAAAATCTTACTGAAGACTATTGAAAATAGTAAAACAATAAAATTTAGCAATTTTTTTAACAGAGCAGATCCTCAAATGGCCTCAAGAAATGTATCTAAAACTTCTTATTAACGGCGACACAAAATGCGACACAATATTTTTTACTGTGTGTATGACAAGTTGTTGTATTGTTTTGTTGTGACGTTCTTCCGTCATTTAGTTAATTATTCATTGTTTTAAATTCATTATTTAATGGTTTTTCCAATTCTCTGTTTCTTCCTTGATAACTAGTTTTTTCTCTTGTACACATCACCGATAAAAAAAATTAAGGTTTGTTTAGAGTTAAAGAAAAGTGCTTTTTCGTATCCAGCACACTTGATAATCTCGAAAATTTTCTATTCTTAGCGAGAGGTACCGCCAAAAAGTTAAGAAAATTTTCAAACAAATTGACGCAGAAAAATCCCCATGGTAAAATTATACAATTTTGAAAATTTTCTTAACTTTTTGGCGGTACCCCTCGCTAAAAATAGAAAATTTTCGAGATTATCAAGTGTGCTGGATACGAAAAAGCACTTTTCTTTAACTCTAAACGAACTTTAATTTTTTGTCGGTGATATGAAAATGTTTGTAAACAAAACGCTTATTCTTCGTTCATGTTACTGTGGTTGCTGTCTTAATCATTCAACAAAATTTTGCTTCTAAACTGGTATAGTTGAAGATCACTGTGTGAATACATTCAGACATGCTGAATTGGTTTCTTTATTCTATCAATCGTTTTCAGAAGTTTAAATAGAAGGAAAGCAGAAGAAAGAAAATAATTACAATGGCGTTGTAAATAAAACTGTGTATCACGCATTTCTTCTTTTAATAAAAAGAGCAGAATTATGGTCATGGCAGCAGCAACCACCACAGATGGTGATAAAAAAACTTCAGATTGTAGTATATGCGGATGTTTTTGAAGAACATTAAAGCGAAATGAGATTAAGATCTGTGCTTTTCGCTGATTAGAAGATAAGACCTAATCTTATATGCCTATGAAGAAGAGAATCTAAAGTTTTACCTGAATGTGGAGCACCTGCTCCATCTTTTTTGGGACTATTGTCATCCAAACTTAAAAAATTAATATCTCCCTCAAAATCAATTCAGATGCCTTGAAATTTTCAGGGTAAACACTAATCGAGTTAGTTTGTATACTGCACTCAAATAACAGAGTAAAATAATGAGAGAAAAGATCCTACGGTTTTTGAGAAAGTTTTTCAGAGATTTTTGCACAGAAAAAATGTCTTCAGTTCCGTTTGACGATGGAATTATAAAATTATACTTGACAGAATAATAAAGTTTATCCTGCAAGTTTCAAGCCATTTATATTCTCGCATCTGTTCTCTTTCTCTCTAATCTTATTACATTGTTATTTGTTTTTATTTTTTAATTATTTTATCTGTTGAAAATGGCTGTCTAAGTCGAAAATTCCAGTTTTATAGTATAAGTGAATGAATTATTTAAAATGATCCACATGAGTTGGGCTGTATTAGTCATTAGTGTTATTTTATGTTGAAAATATAAAAATAATGTTGACTCAACCGTTATGCTTAATAAAAAGCTTTTCAAATTAAACCGGATTAGGTATAATTAAAATAATGAAGAAATTTCAATAAATGCCTCTTTTTATCCCGATCAACTCTGTAATATGAAAAAGAAATCTTTTATCTTTTTTTATTCAAAGTAGATCTGAGATGTTCATCGGCAGTTCTTCAATGTGTATACTATGCAGTTGTTCGATATCCTTAAGTCTTTGATGATCTTCCTTTGTGACAAAATTAATTATAACACCTTTACGTCCAAATTTTCCACTGCGGCCAATACTAAAGAAGATCAAATATCGAAAAAGAACTCATTGCTAAAAAGTAAGTACCACAGTTAACAGAAAAACCCTTCTGATCTCTGTTTCAATTCTTGTGTTTATATTGTTGAAATAGGCAGTATACATCTGCGTTCATGTTTTTTCTGATCCCATTATCCATGCCCATGTCTAAGTTTTCAACTCGTTCAGATATTCTTGAGATAATCGTGAATTTCTTAACATTAGGTGAAACCTGTCTCGAAATCCTAATTTTAGTAAGAGTCGGTTTCCTTCGGGATTATGAATTTTTCCTCTAAAGCAAACATTACCACTAGATTCAGTGTGATCGCTTATGTACGTATCATGCGAATTCAACGTTACCTCAAGTCACCATGCAGTAGTCCTGGGGCTTGAAAGAAATGTGATACCACACCATAATCAACAACACGCGTGATCCTAATTTTTGGGAGAACACGTCGGGCAGTGGAAGTTTTAGAGGCAGTCTGCAAAGCAAAAACTCTCACCAATGTTAATATGTCTCCGGAAAACCTGTGCCCATGCCAGCACCTATCACTAAAAACTTTTTGTCCATGGCACCCATGAGCATGTGTAATGGGCATGACCGCAGATGTCTAATAGACAGTATGCCTAAATAAAGACTTCTTTTCTTACCGTGCAACATAACTTTCATTATCAGATGGCAATTCATAATTAATAGTTAAAGGTAATTGTCCTACGTCGATACTACACGACGGTAAACCTGTGATTACTAAGACGCGTGTTGTACCCGTTCGAAATTCCTTCATATTGAGATCATGTTCTTTTGAATCCATCTCACCATGCTGTATGAAACATATGCTACTCAAGTAGATCGAAAAAACGCATAGATGAATGAATGCTCGGACTCATTCTTATATTGAGCACTATAGCCCTAAACGGGAGTCCTGCTTGAGCGCGCTCGGCATCCTTTTACTCTTCTCGTATTCTCCTTAGTGAGCACTCTAGATGACCGTACGAGACTAATCCACCAATCTCCACTAGTTGCAGACTCGTCCTTTTACCATTCTGCGACTATTCGTAACATCCAATTCTTTGTCAGCCTGGTGTAGTATTAAGACACTTGTAGAACTGTATACTTTGACTTTAAGTGGTAAGAAATCTAACTTCAACTCAGCTGAAATAGTAGGAAAGGGCCAATTTCTACCAAATGATTAGTAACTAGCTCGGAAGTATTCTCTATCGTTAAAAAAATAAGAGAAGAAAATCTTAGATGTTTTTTAAAACCTTTGACGGTAATATCAAAATGAAGAAAACGTTTCTTTTCTTTTCCTTTTGATACGTACTATTAGTGATGCAGGAAATCCACGATCATGCATTTTTTCTCGTAGCCATTCGGTTTTTTGTCGAGTATTACAAAATATTATTACTTGTGCTATTGCTAGTGTTTCATAAAGATCAAATAATGTATCTAATTTCCATTCCTAAAAGACCATAATAGACAATTGGATTTACTAAAAACGGATCAAAAATAACTATTAAAAAAACGGAATGGCTATTGACACACTAAGTGGTGGCAAGAAGAGCTATTGACACCACCGAGTGATGGCACTAAGGGCTATTGACACCTACTGGAAGTGGTAGGAAGAACTATTGACACTACTAAAGGGTGTCAACAATGACTATTGACACCTAGTGGCGTCAAGGGCTACTGGCATCTACGGGAGGTGTCAGCAAGAACTATTGACACCTCCATGCTTAGAGGTGGTAGGAAGAGCCATTGACACTGTCCAGCATACGTTGAATAGTACGAAACATAATTTAGAGCAATTCATTGAATGTTTAGAAGGTCTCTAATCCCTGAGCGGCGACGTTAGTGGCTAGTAAACTTTTCTTGGAAATTTATAAAAATATGAACGTACCATACTGAGACGATGAATAGAAACAAAATAATAAAGAAATTCAAATAACATTCTTCTGGAGAAATATGTTTGAACTTCCTACCGGAGGTTTCAATAGCTCTTCCTACCACCTCTAAGCGCTAATAGCCGTTGCTGACATCTCCAAGTGGTGTCAACAGACCCACTCTAAAAGAAAGGGCATTCACTACGTGTCGCTACGAAAAACTGAATTGAATTCAGGAGTTGTTTTTAGAATGCTTATTATACTTTACACAGATACACGTATACATGTAGGTCATTTTTACTTTAGAAATCATCATCAAACAACATGTAAGACTTTGGAACTCACTTTTAGGTATGATTTTCTGTAAAAACAGGTTTTCCATCGCGTTCTGTACCGATTTCATCGACACTTTGTTCATTCGAATTCGAAATTTTACCACAGATACTAAGCTCCAATACCCTCAGGTATTTTTCGATGTAGATCTCCAAGACGTACCGTGCAGGGTTTATAAGAAAATTTGATGGAGAACCGGATTTCGATTTTGAGGCTCCCAAAAAGCAGCTCTCCTTCCTAGGAAGAAAAGGCGTTGGAGAACTAAATTGAAGTTTCCTTCATCTATTTTTATTGCTCTCAATCTATGTTCTTTTTTTCTTTCTCTAAGTCCAATGTTTTTCTTTTCTTTTTGTCCATTTTTATTTTATGATGATGTTCTGTTTAAGGACTCCTCTCAGGAGATATAATGTAGTCCTTAGGACAACGATTTCACCTGTTTGATCTTCTTTTCTTTTTTTGATTTCTTTAAATAAAAAGCTTAAACTAACTAAATTGAAAAACACCTGTGCGTATGAATGCCTAATATCGATGATAAAAACTTGAACTCAAACGGAAAAGTTTCGATGGAGTTGGTACAATACGCAGTGTGATGAAGTGGCGTTTTTGTATTTAGTTGTCATACGACAAGCGTCACAGCTTTCAGCAAAATGACCATAACGCTGGCAGAAAACATCGTGGAGAGCTGGGAGTGATCTCATTTTGCAGAGAACACTTTTTTCTACGATGCACTGTGCTTAACTCAAAAACGAAAATTTTTTCTTAAAAAAAAATGGGAAGGCCCTTAAGAGTATGTTACGTAATAACTATCAACGAAATTTTGTGTTTCAAGAAATATATAAGATATTAACAATTAATCCATGCGGATGACTGGCGTCTTCTATGGAACTCATTTTAAAAATCAATGATAGTCCCTAGAGCAATAATGTTTAAAAATAACCTGGATGGAATGGCCATTATGTTACGTTTGAAAAAATATATAACTATTTATGTGATTTACTTACATCCCGTTCAACATCAACATAATATTGTTTTAAACTTTCTAATATGAGTTCTTGCTGATTCATATTTATTCGTAAATTCGTCTATCTTACTGAAAGCTAACGACTATAACTCTAAAAGTCTGTGCACTGTGTGTCATACAGTTATTGTTTTCTCTTTCCATGCATACAACGCTGTTATGAAACGAAACATGAATCATTAGATGAAATAAAGCCATATTTCTCTACCTTTTTTCTTCATAGGTAAATCTGACTGCTTATTCCTTTTTGCTTTTCTTTACTTAATACAAGAATACAATGGCTTGCGTTTCTAAGGCGCCGCTAATTCAAAAATCAAGTGGAAAAGCTTTTGAATTTTCAAACACATATTCTGATTCGTCGGACGCTGCTGATCACGAATCTGACCTTATTTTTTCGATTTGGCGGGATTTTTCTGAAAAATCGGGATTTCGAGGTTTTTGACCCCTTCACAGTATTTTGAGGTTTTCTGCATGAAGATTTTTTCCTCTTATTTTTTAACGATAGCGAGTCATGTGGCAGTGTGACCGACGTACATCCACATAGTGACTAATGAGTGTGACGGACATACATACATATAGTCATGTGACAGTGTGACGGACGTACATACACAGAATCACTAATGAGTGTCACGGACAAAGATCCACATGGGTAGATGCGTTCGGGTTTTCTGTAGAATCAGAGACGTGTAACACCTAACCTGCCTGCGAGCGCGGACTGAAGGGACGCGTGAGCATTGTCTGGAGTTCCGAAATATTGTTAGACCTCTGGGGTTCTTTGGTGGTCAGATAAAACCAAATGAAATTACAGATACTCGATGAACTACACAAATTGAGTAAATAACGCTGTGACGCTTTCAAACTTTTGAGAGTCACATAACTCGTGAACTGATGCTGACTTGATAGATTTGACTTCTATT